TGAAGATGAAGATGAAGATGAAGATGAAGATGAAGACGAGATGAAGATGCACACCACAACTTAACCCCCACAACCGTAATTCACCACACTTCAACTCTCTCACCACACCTTAACTCACCACACCTTAACTCACCACACCTCAACTCACCACACCTTAACTCCACACACCTAAATTCACCACACCTTAATTCACCACACCTCAACTCACCACACGTTAACCCCCACACCTAAATCCACCACACCGTAATTCACCACACCTCTACTTTCTCACCACACCTTAACTCGCCACACCTCAACTCACCACATCTTAACTCCCCACACCTAAATTCACCACACCTCAACTCACCACAGATAAATTCACCACACCTAAACTCACCGCACCTCTTAAGCCCACCACACCTGAATTCACGGCGCCGTAACTCCCACACCCAATTCCACCACATCGCAAACCACCACACCCAATTTCCCCACATGACATGATATCACTTTATGTGGCATCAATGACATTGCTTTAATATTGATACTGAATTAAAGAAATCTGCTAAGAAGCAGTTTAGAAATCAGATTTACGAAGATTAAGATTCATGCAAGGAAGAAGGTAAAGTTGAATATGTAGAAGAAGAAAGGGATAAAGGCAAAGATTAGAATAAAAGTAAAGAAACCTAAATACAAACGAAGGTGGATATGAAGATGAAGATGAAGATGAATATGAAGATAAGGATAAAATCATAACTCCTTAACTTTATCTCATCTTAACTTAAAAACTTACTCCACCTGAGCTCACCACACATTAATTCACCACACTTTAACTCCCCACACCTAAATTCACCACACCTCAACTCGCCACACCTTAACCCCCGCACCTAAATCCACCACACCTAAATCCACCACCCTTAATTCACCACACCTCAACTTTCTCACCACACCTTAACTCACCTCAACTCACCACACCAAAATTCACCACACCTTAATTCACCACACCTCAACTTTCTCACCATAACTTAACTCACCACACCTGAATCCACCACACCTAAATTCACCACACCGTAACTCCTACACCCAATTCCACCACACCACAGCTCACCACACCCAATTTCACCACATGACATGATATCACTTGATGTGGCATCAAAGGCAACATCATTTGGCATAAAATGAACCAAAATAAATAAGATTTAGATAGAGGTGAAAAAAGGGATAAAAAGGAAATACAACTGAAGAGTGTGCGATGTTATATTGTGGTGTGTTATGCTTCATGTGTTATGTTATTTATTCTTATGTTATGGTTATGTTATGTTATACCAAGTACTAAGCTAAACTCCCCTCCACTTAACCCATTCCAACTAATGTTATTTTAGCTCATTCAACTTACATAAAGTATCCTTAATTTTATCGGTTGAATTTCAACCGCTGGGCGAACACTAGTTCATATAAATTCATAAGCTGGCTAAGTTATAGCTGGTCAAAGTAAAAGTTTTTTCAAAATTTTGCGATTAAAAAAATTTAATTTTTTCAAGCCCTGGTAGCAGCACCTAAAATTTTTCTTTAAAATTTAAAATTTTCGCGTATGTCTTTATTTTATACGTAGACCAAAATAAAGGGGCGCGTGCGATGTTTTTACTTTACCCTACCACCCTACTATGCATAGACAATGCTAATGTCAATAATAGGGGTATTCAAGATCCGGTGCATACTGTCTAGCATGTTGCATAAATAGCATGCTTTTGGTTATTTCATGTGTTCAAACAACAACAAAAGTAGCCAATCATGCTAGCCACCACGCTAGACAGTAAATATGCACCGGATCGTGAATACCCCTAATGTAATTTGAGTAGCTTTATTTGTTTTTAATTACATACATTACATTTTGTCATTACCTTGAGTTAATTGTTGTGCATATCTATGTAGGTACAATATTAAGTCATCAAATTACAAACTTATTTATTTTGCGTGTGTTCAACTGACTTGGCTATTTTAAATAGTATCTTGCGAGTTCGCTGAAATATCACAATTGAATAAATTTTTGCTACGAAATAATTAGTGAAAAAATTTGTGTAGCAAAAACCAGGTCTAGTGGAGCAATCTGAAGTGGGCTAGCGAAATGGCCGGCTTGGGCCCCCTACCGCTCACCAAAACGTTAGTGATGCGCTAAACTGTGGGTACGCAAAACTCGGTACCCAATACTTCAAAAAGGTTTCGGTACTCAATACTTTTTTTTTTACTATTTTTGTTTTGTATGGCCCCAAGTATCCCCTTTAAGACCAGGCCAGTACAATTTTTGTTAATACGGTAAACTGTGAAATTTTTAGCCTTTTTTATTTTTTTCCATGGGCAGAATTTCGTTATATGATGAAAAATTCTGACCAAAATTCGTCCAAATCTAAAATGGTCGATTTCAGCCATTGGTCTATTTGACATGGGTTGAGCCATATGCACATTAGGGTGGTCAAAAAAAGGGTGTGAGATAAGTAAAGTCAGATTTTTAATAAGAATAATTCCCAATTGTTTATTAAACCAATTATAAACCAATAAATTTAATATTAACGGTTTTTTATGGGGCCCCATTACAATTTTTGTGATTTTTGGGGGGCCCATAAAATATAAACAATTGAAATCTTCTGGTGAGAAACAGAGCTGGCCGATTGAAAAATATAGGAAAATTATTTTTTTCCCATATAAAATACATGGGAAACTTTGAACGCTTTGAGCGGCCTCGAAATATTTCTGGATTTCAAATGAGTAATTTTTAAGCGAAAAACAAAAGCGACTTCAATTCTCATATAAAAATTTAAATGTATCGCTAATTTCTTCATGATCCAAATTAGTATGGAAACACTTCTAAGGCATGTTTTTTTTTGCCAAAATATCAAGCTACTAACGATGAAAATCGATAGAAAAATAAACAAGTTTTGAACGGTTAAATTAACATCTGCAAATTTTTTTTATGAATTAGAAGCAAAAAATAACGTTACTCATACGCCACATCGTACATAGCCGTAATCGAGCTTTATCGTACATGGCGTATGAGCAACATTTTCCATGGGAAAGTGTGATTTTTTTCACTCGCAATGCATACTTAAAAAGAAAATATCTTGGGAAAATGAAAAGTAAAAAACAGTAACTTTCTTTCTCATATTTCGCTTTACATTTATATAAACGAAAACAATATTTTTTTCTCGATAAAGACCATTTTGTGTATAATAATTTGGTGATAAATTAACATAGTTCTACATATTCTTGTTGTAAATAAACCGTAAGCCACGACAATATTTAAAAAATATGAAAACAAATATTTATTCCTTCCTTCCTGTCAATATAATATTTTGAGCACCAATAAAAAAAAATTTGACTACAGATTCCAACCAATTTTCCAACAACAATTGCAATTTATTTACGAAAAAAATTGCAACCAATCATAAAAATTCGTAATGGAAGAGCAATTTTTTTTTTGGCTTTGAGTCAGCACAGTTGCTCGCTTACGCCTTTATTTACAAATAGAAAATTCTATGGAAATTTGTCTGACGGCAACGATGAGTGTACACCGCTCGAACATTACTTTCCCATCAAAAACAAAAACCGCAGAGTAAAAGTAAAAGCGAATTAAAAATATGAAATTACAATTTTAAAGCTAATAAAAATTTTTGTGCTGCACAGGAATAGAACAGCAGAGCAACGAAAATACTTGTGCAACTCGTAAATGGGTAAACAGTATGTAAGCCAATGAACGGCCGCCATGTACATATGTATGTATGTATGTAGGTAGAAGGCATTATGCCAGCAGAGCAGCTAACTTTGAAAGCAAGCGCAATTGGACAGGCGAAAAAAGCTGAGTGAAAATTTTGAAAGTGCATTGTACTTGCCACTGGCACGAACATACATACATACGAGTATGAACAAAGAAAAAAAAAATATTAACCAAATAAACAAATAGTCATGCATTTATTCTAGAGAA